TCAATTGCAATATTACATTTTCTTGTACTGTTCCAAAATAGTGAACAGGTTAAAAGTTTTTTCATAATGTAATCAGTTATTAAAAACTCATTATTATTATCATTATTATTTTGGGTATCCTATTTCAAGAAAATATAGTTTGTTAAAAACCAAATTGCAAATGTCACAAACATGAACTTACGTTCACATTTTAGAAAGACAACTTGATGCCTTACAAACAGATTAGAAGCTTTTGTTTTGTTACTTATTTTCAATAAAGAGTTTAATATTTTTTAGAGAGTCTGAATTTTTTCTTTGTTATTATAAGCACACAACTGAATTAATTAAGTCATTGCATAAAAACCTAAACTGCATTTTATCACATTTATTTCAAGTTTTGTTATATTTTCACTTAGCATCTAAGTTAGTTTAATATCTAAAACCATTTTTCTTAATAATTTATGTGTCATTGTTTAATTAGCTAATCTTGCAATGCGCAAGAAATTTGAAAAGTCCTCAGCATTTTATAATATGCAGAATAATTTTTAGGTTCATTACAATCAGAAAAGAACAGTAAAACCGAAAAGAAAAGTGAAAATAATTGTAAGCAACTTGCTATAATAAAGATGGCTGTGGATTTATTGTCCACATGAGGGGGAAAAATATTAAAATTCAAGAAGATATGCATTCGCCTGTACGATCATATATGTTTAGTGATGAAAAAAATTCTTTTATATCTAATTCATAAAAATAAAAATACATTACTCTTGCTACCACTAGGAAACATATTTTATGAAACTACGGAGAATTCGTAGCATTTGGAGTCTCTTTATAATTTCTAGATGTATGGGATAGGGGCCGCTGCGTGGCCCAGGTGCCCAATTTCTTATAAATAAAGTAAGTAAAGGGAGTCTCTTTATGTCTTCTGTAGGTCGACTACTTTGTGAGGCTTGACCACAGTGAGTTAATCTTTTTTAAAAAGATGACTTTTTTGGTAAAATAATTTATGAATGTAAAGAATTTGAATTATTGGATTAATAAGTGTATAATAGTCGAAGTAATAATTATCACAGAAATTCAAAAATCGCTAGAAATTTAAAGATTAAGTGGTAGAATGGTAGAAATCATATAAATCACGGTGCGCTGCCGCGAAGCGGCATTAACCGATTCATCTGTAGTAGTAATTCGATGATGAGGAGTAGTGAGGTGGAATGGAGATGTGGGGAAGAGGTGATGCTTAGCACCAAAAATCGAGAGTGTATTTCGAGTGCTAGGGCAACGTCATATAAAGATTAAGTGTATGATTTAAGGAGATAACATTCAAAGTGTGTTTTATCAATTTTATGGTGATTTCCATAAAAAACATTTTTAAAATTTTTTTTCCATATGAAACGTTTTTTAATTTTTTTTTCATATAAAAAGCTTCCTAATTCTCCTGTAGCATTATAAATTTAATACTAATGTTTAAAATTTTTTGTATAAAAATACTAATTTATTTTTAGAATTCAAATTTTTTGTCAGAAAGTATATACTTGTCATGGAAATATTTGTCATTAAACAAAAAAATGGTGCATCGATTATAAATATTTCGATTAAAGATTTTTAAATTTTTAATAATATTGAGCTTAACCAGGGATCACATGCACTTTGAAAAAGTAAAAAACGATAGTAATATTAATAGATAAAATTGTAAGGTGTGCAAAGTAGTTTAAAAATTCTAAATAAAATTTTTTATAGATCCAAAGGTAAAGAATTTGAATTCTTAATTATAAAGCGAATTGTTACTGCTTTATTGCAAGCTTTGTTGTAGTTGCTTGCTATAAAACTGATACGAGTTTTTAGTTTTTCCATATACATGCAACCCATGATAAATAAATCAAACTTTCGCTGATGCATACCCTTTGACTACTAAGGAATTCGCCTCAGAAAATATTTTTGGTGGCAGCAAATTCTTTATTCTCTATAATAGAGCGAAAAGAATAAGTTGAATTAGAGTAAAAAGGGCTTCCCCCAGTATGAGACATAAATAATTTAAACCGAAATATAAAATGTTGTATACAGAGTTTCATAATTTTAAATTTTGATGAAATCTCAAAAAAAAGTTAGTAGGTTTTAAAATTTATGTTTCTGGTGTAGTGCAGACAGTTTTGCAATGTTGATTTAACAAATGCTACAAACCACCAGAAATGTAAAACGAACTGCTTTTAAACGTTTAGCAACCACTATTCTTACAACACGCTAAAGTGAGTCATTTCATTTACACTGAACTATCTAAGCCTGCCAACTTTCTATGCTTTTTGAAAAAAATGTCTTTTAGTTAATGGAAGCTAATTTTATGTTTTAATGTGTTAAAGCTTAGTTTTCTTTTGAAAATTTGATTCAAAATGTTTAATTTTATTTTCGTAAATTTGATTTTTCGCTCCATTACTTCCAATTGATTCGAAAGCATTTATAAAAAGGCCTTTTTTGTTCAAAATCTCCCTTATCAAAACATATAATTTTTGGTAAAAGACAAGTAATTTGTGGTAAAAGTTTTTTTCTTGTCTTTTCATTAAGGGGCCTCGGAGCATTGCTAGTTTTGGTTAAATTCACTAACAACAGAAAGGCTCCTATGTGTTTGCAGGCAGTGTGTCCCCTGATGAAGTACTGTTCTGCAAACACACATTTATATATTATATTTTATTTTTAATTATTTTTAATTATTAGGAATTTATGCCTTATTTTTAATCTAAGTACATACTAATATGGAAATCAATGAATCAGTAAATCAACAATTCAATGAATTTATGAAACAAAAAATCCTGGATTCCAGGAATCTCTGTATCAATATCAGATTTTGTCTTCATTTTAAATAATTAAACCATAGTTATAAACTAGTTTATATATATTTTTTAAATATTCATCATTTTGGTTAAAATACTTTGAAACATAATTTATTTAATCAAGAATCAACTATCAAAGCCTTTCGAACAATCAAAGTCACATCAATCGCTTAAAAAAAACGTCTGCTGGAAGCTTAAAATTTGCCAGCTGTTTCCAGAAATTAAAATTTAGAACTTTTGTGTAAAGCAATTAATAATGTAAACTTATATAATTGAAAAAACTTCTGATTACTTAATAATTATATAACGATATCTTATACTATAATACGAGGAATGGTTGCCAAGTCGAAAATCGCCCCAGAATTAATAAACTCCGGTAAACTTGGGGGTCTGGGGTTTTTGGCCACGAGGAATCGATTGGCGCCGGTTTTGAAGCGCTACGGTCGAGCAGTTCGGAGTTACAGATAGGATATTTTCAAACTTTATTAGTTCGCCATAATGGCTATAGATACTTTTCTCCACTCTTATAAATGTATGCTAATGCGAACCTTACAATTGAAATATTAATTTTCGACAACTTAAACCAATAATATACGAAGGAATTAATAATTTAATTGTAAGGTTCGCATTAGTTTACATTTATCAAAGTGGAGAAAAGTTTAACTTTTGTGTTAAAATCACCGTCAACAAAGTCCGACATTTCAACATTCATCAGATTTCAAGCTACATTTTCAACATGCAGAACGCACCTCTACATGAAATTCTTCAAGGAGCCGGAATTTTGGAACAACAAGCGATCAACTCAATTCTACCCGCAAATGGACAACTAGAAGATACCGTCATTGTCAGAATGCTTCTCCATTACGCCGAACAAGCTTACCCGACCGTCAAAGTTGCCGTACTTCACCCTGAATTTGTCGCACGCTTCTACGTTACAACAGCGGATGGCGCTTATGAAGGAATGGCTCTTCTCAACGATATCAGCGACCAGAACAAGGCTTCCAACTATCTATACGGCGTTCAACAAGGATTCGACGTGCTACTCATTCCCATTCACAAGAGAGCTCAAATGGATAGAGGCGAGCACTGGATGCTAGGAATTTACGAAGCAAGCTATGGAGAACGTCAACTATTAGTCTGCGATCCAGTCGACAACCCGCTGCCCATCGATGCTGTTTTGAGAAAAATACTGCGACACGTTTTGAATACCGTTGTTACGAATGAAAAGCTGAAAGGATGCATCGTGAAACCTCGCAACGCTTACAACCACCAAGATGACGCGTCTTCCTGCGGAGTTTACATCGTCTTTTATGCTCGACAATACCTCTCTCATCGACGCCTTTTCCTGGACAAGAATTTTCAAGAAGCGGATGAACGGAAGCAAATTTACGAATTCGTTGTGAACAGTGTCTTTAATTGTATAATTTTTTGTTATCAATTACATTTTATTTCCTATGACTTTTCAAACTTTACCTTTGTATAGAATAGTTCCCTTTCCAAACTTTGTTTAGATAGTTTACAATGGTGCACTTTAACCGGTTATCTTTTCACCAATGGTTTCACAAATTTTCTTATGGCATGTATTGTTTTGATAAATCACAATTGAAAATTTAAATCTTCGAGTTAGCTTCGATACCTGTTTTCTCCGAGCGGAGCTCGGTCACCCGCTGGTATTAAGTAACGTTAGGTATTGTTTAGTTTAGTAATTGTAAATGTCATTCATGTTTTCCATTTCGTAAAATGAATGCAAACTTATTAAGTAACGTTAGGTATTGTTTAGTTTAGTAATTGTAAATGTCATTCATGTTTTCCATTTCGTAAAATGAATGCAAACTAATTTTTAAGAGTTGTTTATAAGACTTTTTTCAAGTAGATAAGTATACAATTGTATTAAATTGGTTCGTATAATTAAAAAAAACTTTTTTTTTATTTTTCAATTAAGAAAATGTAAAGATTGTATTAATTTTCTTTGTGAGCTGTGATTTGTTTATGATAATAATAAAATTGCTAAATTGTGATGAAATAAAAATGAATACACTAATCATTTAAAGAAAGCCTTTTTTTTTGTTTGACTGGAGTTTACGAGGCAGATTTTCAGTGATATATAAAAAAAAACGCAAGAATTATTATTTACAAAATAATGTTATCAGCAAAGCTTTGTTTCTGTTATCAATTTAACTTTAAACCTTTTCAGAATCATATATTGCAGTTTTTAAAGGATATAAGTTAGCTTAACTTCTACGCAAGTGACAGAAACATGGGGTCAATTATTGCAACACCCATTACTTTAATATGTTCTCTTTTTTCATCGCAACCATTGAGTAAGTAATTAGTTTTTACGTTGTATTGAACTATAAAGATTATCTCCTCATCTTTTTCTACTCTTATTAATATGTTTGTTTTAATTCTTACATTTTTTTTATTTTATAACCGTCATTGAACAACAGACCCAATTGTTTTGATTACGATTACTAATGTTCAACTCCGTAGCCTTGCAATTTTGAAACCAATCCAGAAGACAAGGGAACTCCTGGATCAAGTATGGGGAGAAATTTGCATTCGTAAAGGACTTTTTGATGGAACTATCCCACATTTGTGTTACACGGAGAGGAAGACCACTAGAACCTCCTATGGTTAGCCTGACGACAAGGGGACTCTAACCCCATGATCCATCTATCACTGAGAGCGTCAGTACTGTGGTCGGTGCAAGTAGGATGAGGAATTCGTATGGACCAGCCATCGCTGGGATTTGAACCCTTTTCACCTCAATAGAAGGCGAACGCTCCATCCCTGAGCCATCGCGGCTCTAATTTTTACATTTAAAGAAGGACGAAAAAATGCTTTATAATTTGAGTGATACTGAGTCACCTGCTTAAATCTGATCGTCCTGGGAAAAATTAAAAAGTGGCGTTCAAAGTTATCTTTAAGGCTAACAAAATATCTTAGGTTTAGCTTTCATTTTGTTTTTAACTTAGGGCAGATTTCAGTTTTATAATTGAATTTAATTAGTTAAGCAGTTAGCATGTCCTGGTATTTAAAATGTTTCGTTTCATAACAAATATTGACGAAAAATCTCACTGTTCTCCTACACCTATTTTAATTTTTTTTAAAGAGCTGCTACCAAATTATGCAATTTAGAGTGCAATTTAGAGCGAGAGAGTGCACAGGGAGTCTTCCACCACATATTATTCAATTTAGATGAAAGAGCAGATATCCATTCATGGATAGGTACTCTGAAAAACTTGATTAGTTAGTTAGTTAGCTATGAATTTGTTATTACCTTTTATGAACGCCTTTATGGAACATGAATACATGATTGGCATACAGGAAACGAATAGCATCTTTATAGTTCGCTATTTTTAGTTTCGAATTTAATCTACGAGAAGAATTGAACTTCGCGCAGGTTTTCTCAAAATTACTGAGTGAAAAAGCAAATTAGGTTAACTAGATAACGCTCTTGTGATAACCAGGACCGGGTGGCATTCATGGTGTCATGATTGATCATCTCGGTATACGGGGAAGGCAATTCCTGCTGGATATTTTTAACCATTCTGTAGATGCGGTAGATTTCCCGAGACTGGAAGAGAGCCTTAATAATTCCTATGCAAAAAACTGGGAAGTCTGCAGACTCCCCCGAGAACTATAGGCCAATAGCTTTGACTAGTGTTTCATGCAAGCTTATTGAGAAAATGATCCTCTGCAGACTGAATTTTTACTTAGATTCCAAAGAACTACTCCCTCGAGCACAATATGTTTTTTTGTTGCGATGTTATGACTGGGTTTTGCACGTGATAACAATGCAATTGCTAATCTTTTGTTTGAATCTGTATCCGATGTACTCTGTGCAGAGCCCAGAAAAAGAAATGGGCTAATACTGGACTCAGTAACTGATGATTATTGGGGTTTAGTACCTGAGGATAATTCAAGTTCTAGTCATTGGCTGTTCTCCGTGCTTGATACATTCTGAGGAGAGCCCAGTTAATGAAATATGGCTACTGAAGTTAAAACTTTACTCTGTATCTGAAGAAAACTCCAAAAAGTGTTGAGAAATAACTAACGTTTAGGATCCTTACAAGCAGAAGCAGAATTTGTTGATAGGCAGAATTTATAGCGATATTATTGCTAGGTGTTGTACCTCATGTCTACTTAGGCTCTGCACTTGATGACAATGCAATTATAAATTGTTTGCTGGGATCTGTACCTGATGTACTCTGTACGGAGTCCTGCACACGAAATTGAGCTACCGAGGCTAATACTGGGCTCTGTAATTAGCGATAATGCAAGTTCCGATCATTCCAGACCTTTAAATGTAGAATTCCTGACGATATATCAATTAAAAGAATTTACTGATGATTTAATTAACGACAAGCTAAAAAGTAGAATAGCTAAAGCTTTGATCTTGACGACATTTCAAGATTTAATTATTTTCTGACTTCTATAAGTGAGAAATATTTACTCTGAAGAATTTATTTCAATTAACTTTTTCGCCACTTTTCATTTAGCTAAAGAATGCTTTCAAATTTTAACTGGGGCTTTTTGCCCGTTGCCACCCGAAGTTGAAATCGTTTCTTAATTATTACAAGTATTTTTAATTATTATAAGTATTGTCATATAATAGTGCATTAAATTAAAATTTTGCAACTCTGCAGAAAATATATTTTTACGTGAAAATGACACACTGTTTTTAAAATTAACTTATAGTGAAATTAAAAAAAAAAAAAAACTAAAATTGTTGCTAAAATAAAGAAATTTGAGTTACAAATTATCAACTTACAAATTACGCATAGTATAACCATCTGTAGCAGGCAGTAAACGTGCTGAAGCAAATAAATTATCCGTATTATTTTTAACAAAACTTAAGAATATCACCATTTGTCTATATAATATTTCATATATCTGCTGGCATCATTTTATGTAATAATGGACAATATTCTTAGAATTCGAATATATCACTTGAGAATACGTTACTTTTGCTACCAATAAGAAACATATTTTCTAAAGCTACGGAAATTTCGTAGTTGTTTGAGGGCATGAACAATGCCTGAAGCTAGAATATATTAATTGTGAATATATTAATTGTGAACTTTTGCTAATAATAGGAAATATATTCTTTAAAGCTACGGAAATTCCATAGATGTTGGAAGGCATGAGTAATACGCGAAACTCGTATATATTAATTGTGAATAAGTTACTTTTGCTACCAATAAGAAATATATTTTTTAAAGATACGGAAATTACGTAAACGGTGGAGGGCATGAGTAATGCCTGACACCTGGGTAGCAGAAACCCTCCATCACGGCAGATGGTCGTGATTATAATCAGCAGATATTTATCTGCAGATCATCTGCTGATTATTTCTCATCAAAAAATAAACAAACAAATGAGGGGAAAATTGCAGAGACTTATTTTTAAAACATCTCTGATTTTGGCCGATTAAAAACTGAAAAGGCGAATCCAAAGAACATTACAAATAAAACAAATTGTAGAGAATTTTTTTTTCATTTACTTAATTACTGGCTTAACTGTATAGGGATTTTTTCCTCCTTTTTTTTAATATGTGTAAAATTCATCTTCAAATTTAAGCAACATAAATTTTTTATGTCTAATTTGTATGGACATCATATTTGCGACATGTACAGTCGGCAAAAAAAAAAAGATATCACCCTGAATAACTTTTGTTCTAATGATCGGATTTTCACGATCTAAGTGTCAATCTTAATGGTTCCCGGGGGTGACCTCAAATATGCTAATTAATTAATGCTAACTATTAATTAAGTTACGAAATCAGACACAAAAACGTACTTTCTCTGAATAAACATGTATTTTTTTTT